TCTAATCAACTGCAAAGCGACGCCGCACGCCGCGGGATACCATCACGCAGTCTGATTTTCAGTCGGTCACGCATTAATTCCAAGCTCATACTGTAGGAACTAAAAATATATTATCATTTTATGCGGCTGTATTAGTATTAAAATCAGCTTCGTATTCGTCTTAGTGCCGAGCTTATGTAATCTTAGCAACAAAAAATAAATAAATTGGTAAAAAAACAATTGCATAATAGATTTCACAAGAAAAACTAACGATAAAAAAGGACGTTTCYTTCAATTAAACATATACAGTAGAATATAGATAAGACAGGTGGACGGTTAGAACAACAGTACTATTCACAGTCATTATGAATATTATGATGAATACCCTAGGGAATTGTAATATGCAAATAGAGTATATATAAAGGGAAGCGTGGTCCCTCYGTGCCACTTCRTTCAAATTATCGGGAATAGTACAGACATCTTTGATTGAGATTACCGATCCCGCTTGCTCGCTCATTTCTTGGGAAGTCAAGAACAGGTTCCTCTTCGGTTACCTCCAGGAGAGAAGTTCCTAATGTTGGTCAAAATGAGCCAGGACAGAACGCTCCACAACCTGCTCAAGTATAGTAATCTTATTCCTCTTGTGACCAAGTTATGGTCTAGTTAGATTCTTGCTGAAAGGCCATCGTGTTATTTTATTCTTCGGAGTTCAGAAGTTTCAGAACTTGATGTTTTCCCTATCGTTTAGTTTTATTAGTTTGCACTATTAAAGTCCTGTGGTTCGTTGAGCGTTCAAATGAATGGTTTTCAGCTCTGTCATCTCCTGAATCGTTAAGCGTTTTAAGGATGGTGGGTACAGTTGTCAGCGCGCACTTTTACTGCGCACATTACGTAATCCACAGGAACTCCAATGTTTTCAAAAATAAAAACAACAACAAAACGAAATAAATGCGTGATCATTGTTGTCATCATTTTTTTTTAAAAATAGCAATTTTTTCATGGGTGTCTGTATGGGATAGTTTAATAGTACTGTGAAAATGAAAGTGAAAGTTGTGAAAAGGAGAAAACGACGACTAGATGGTAGATTTGTCAGAAATAGAGTACCGGTAAAGCGACAAAAACTAGACGAAAAAGATCAAGCGGCGGAGAAACTTCAAAACAAACACAAAATATTAATTGAAGGAAGGCGAATTATTGAGCTAGATTACCTGATAGAGSAGTTAAAAAGTGGGTGTAGTGAATGTAAAGAGACACTCAAACTTCATGAATTGATCGATGAAAAAAAGTTTGGACTTGGTAGTTTGTTTTACATTCAATGCGAATGCGGAGTTTTAAACTCCGTTCGCTCGGGAAAAACTCATCGCGATCCCCGTAAAAAGAAATCAGGCACGCCTGTATGAGACATCAATACGAAGTTAGCAACAGGTGAGCTATCAAGACTGTTTTTCTATCTACTTATTGATGTATATATTAAAGTTTTGATTGTTTTTGGTCGGTGTGTGTACAAAAATTGAAACTCATCAACCTCACAATGGAGTGGAGTGGAGTGCGGACGGCGGACTGAAACATTATTATTTATCATTTATTTTTAGCTGCTATGCATACTGGTCTTGGTGCAACTGGTATCAATAAATTACTTTCATCATTGAATATACCCTGGATTAACAGAAAAACATACAAAAAAAGAGAAGACGAAGCAGGCCAAGGAATAAATACTGTTGCAGAAGTGTCTTGCACAGAAGCAGTTAGGGAAGAAGTTGAAAAAGTGTTAGAGCACTCTGAATCTATGKAAGAAATTTGGCTTTTGTATTTTGTGAGATTATTATGATWGTGGTAGTAAATGTTAAAATGGAAATGATATATCTGTGAAATGGTTGGAGAAGGTTTTTTAAAATAATTCAGGAAATTTATGATGGCTGCTATTTTTTGTATCCAACAATTTAGTCTGCATTTATATCTCAAAGGGATATTATTYCTTACTAAAAATAAATTAAATCATTGATCAAAAAGTGGGTTGGAATTACCTGTAAAAACACAAGTGTAGAACACTTTACTAGTTGTACCCTTTTACACTTTACAGGTTTTTGAAAACCACTCTAATATCACATTATTATTCTGGGAATAAGGCATTATTTCGAGTTGTTTTTTCCTTGAATTCATATAGTAATATCTTGAATAAAATTATAGCACAGAACAGTGCAAGATTGATGCAAGCTTTGATGCTGGATGGCAAAAGAGAGGATCTGGACGAGCCTATAATAGTTTATCTGGTATRTAGGTTGACATCAATATTAGAAACAATTTCAGGAGAAAATATTTAAAAAATATTGTAAAAGTAAGAATGAAGTTATTGATAAACAACAAAGGGTTCAGGAAGAAGGATTGTAACAATATACTTTATTTGAGCTTTATTGATGGAAACTGTCAATGATCAA